AAAAATAATAATTGATTAATAAAATTTGTTTTAAAATTAACTCACATTTTTAAAAGTTTATATTTTTTTTTAAAAAAATAAGATTCTAGGTTATATCTAACTGACTTCATTGATATTCACAATTTTAGCCTAAAAAATATTATAAAATGAGATAGAGGAAATATTAAGTATCTTGCTGGTCAACCTATAATTTGCATACCTAAATTCTTATTATTGCTTTGATTGAAAAATTAATTTGTTGGTTTTATTTTTCATATTTTTACTGGGAAAATATGAATTTGCTTAAATTAGTTGAATGATAAAAAGATGAATCAATTATTTTTCTATCGAAAAAATTAATGACTCTGGAGTTCTTTTTTTTTTTTTATGATGCTCGTGTGGCAAGTGAGAAAAATATAATATACATTATAGAGTACATTTGAAGAACATATATAAAAGCAACAGAATTTTGATAATGATTATGACTATGATTATGATATCATAAGATTGGTAAAACTTAGAGAGGAAAACCACAATGGAGTGCACGAAATGTCTTTTAAGAGAAAGTGAGGAACAACAATTAATGAACCACCAAAATTAGTTAACGTGTTTATCATAACAACTAAGATTATTGGGTTGGTTTAGTGGTTACTCCAAAAAAAAAAATGAACAAGACAAAAAATATTATTTTTTTACTTAAGAGATTTATTATCTTCTTCATTATCATCATTATCATTACCATTATTCCTAGTCAAAAAGATATATAGTGGAGATTATGAATGGTATCTTGGAAGATCTTAATTTAATTCTAGTAATTCATTTGAAGCTATCAACCTCATTACTAAAAAAATTGCCTTTGCTCAAACTTTGAGAAATCTTGTTGGAGGCATCATAGACTTATTTACTAATACTATCGAGGTCATGTTTATCTCTGGCCATTAAGGCAATCACCTTAGGCCTCACAAAAAAATTATTTATTATACAGGGAATCTATTGATCTTTTCTAATAGAAATTAATTAATATTATGATCTTAATTATAGTATGATATACTAGGACTATATGATATATTATTTGTTGTTTCTATTAGTGAAATCTTATCACTCATTTATTAGAAAGCTAGAGAGAAAAAATGGCCTTGCATATGCTTTGAAATTTAAAAAAAGATTGAAATGAATGTAATTAAACTAGCCATAATGATAATTGTATAATTCATAAATTATATTCCCTCCGTTCAAAAATATAAAGCATTTTTTAAAAAATTAGATATTAAAAAATAAAAGATATTTTTAGTCATTTGAGGTGTAATTATTGCATTTTTTTCAAAAGTACCCCTATTGATAATGACTTTATTTTTATCGTAAGGTATTTAATAAGGGTAAATATGAAAAAATAGAATTAGTTTTAAAATAAATAACTACTTTATTAGGAATAAGATTTGGTTAAAAATATTTTACATTTTTTAATAGAAGGAGTAGCACATTAACCCTCTATAATAATTTCGTATTAGGTCTCCAAACTTCTTCACATGGCCTTAAGTCTATGCTTAGTAGGCAAGAAGAAAAATGGGGGAGAATAGTGAGAGGAAACTAATTTAACTCAGCTTGGCTAAAAAAAGGAAAAAAAAATAGGAGGAAGTGAAAATTGGAAAGAAAATAACATACAAGACTAATATATTTTTCCTACAACTTTTTTCCATGTCATTTCCCCAAATTCTTTCCTCTAAAAATTAAGAAATTTTAAAGAAAAAACTTCATTTTCAAATTTACCTACAAATGGTTTTCGTTTCCTGCTCCCTACCTCCCCATTTTCTTATATTTGGTTTTAATTTAAAATTTTTAGAATATTGTATGTTTGATAATTTTAGAAATAAAATTGAAAATTGGACAAAATAATTTTCAATTATCTTTTCATTCAATTAGTAATATATAATGAAAAATAAATAAATAATATGCTAAAACATAAAGTTTAATCATATATAAATATTTTTATACAAATAATAAGATTATTATTGTCCATATAAAATTAATAATTTTTTATTTTTTCTTGTTTTCTCTTGTTCAATCAACCATTGTGAGGAAAAACTGTATCTCTTTACTTTTTCTTGCTTTATATTTTTTCTTCCCCTATTTTCTCTCGTTTTTTTCTTGTAAACCAAACACTGCGTGAAGATTAGGGTATTATCATGGACCATGTGTTCGAAAAGCCAATAAATATGTTAATTAGCAACTTAGTTTGCAAAATCCAATTTATAATAATCAATAAGTAAATTCCACCTATTAGTTGGCAAAAACGGCTCATGATATAGGGTCCGTTTAGTTTTCCTTCATTTCACATTCAGAAAGCAAAATTTTATTTTCAAAAAGTTGAAAGTTATTTGGGTAGAACATTTTATAGGAAAGCACATCCTGAAAGTACATTTAAACAATAGTTGAAAGTGAATTTCTGAACCGTAACTATTTGAAGCTTTTAAAAAGTGAATTTGAAAAGTAAGATGCTATTTGACCATACTACTTTAAGTTTAATCTCTTATTCTTTTATTTTAAAAATAGTTAATTCATTAAAAATATAATTATTATTTTAATAATAATAATTAGGTATCAATTTTTTTAGTATTATAAATTGAGTAATTAATCATGTTAATTTTTAGCATTAATGTATAACAAAATTACAAATATTTATTACATCTTTTAAAATTATAAATTAAAAAATACAAATAATTGGAGATCAAATTTTTAGCATTATAGATCAAAATTTATATTATTAAAAATCTTTATTATATTTTTTTAAATATTTTAAATATATTATATTTGTATAATAAAAATTATAAATCATTATAAATTAATATTCTTTTTAGTAATTGTATATTTAAAAGCACATTTTACTATCATAAACCAAATAACTTTCAATGTATCAAATTGAATTTTAAAAAAATATAATTAAATATAAATTTTATTATAATAACTAATTTTTATTAAATAAATTTTTATTAAATAAATTTTTAATAAATTAAAAACCAAACCCACACATAATTGCCAAGGAAATTATCATCAATCATCCTCTCTCTCCCACGATATGAAATGACACAAGGCTTTGACGTTGGCGGCGGCGGCTCATGATGATACCAATAAAGATTGAGGTCAATAAAAGAAGTTAATTTTTTATAACGTCATAAATTGATATTCAATTTAATATATGATAATGCCGCAAAACTAATTCTAGCAAGACAATATTTGTGGGTGATTAAAAAAAAAATCAACTTATGACAAAATGACAGTGTTGTTGACATTTTTATTTCATTGACCTTCCGGTGGGGAGGTTGGTGGGTTTAGATTGGGATGTTATTGTGGACCATGTTTTTAAGAAAATCAATGAATATGCTAATTTAACTCGCAAAATGACATTTTATATTTCATTAATCTCTCATAACAAATAATAATGTAAATTTAAAAAGATGATACATATTTTTTTATTATTATCAATGACATGTTAGTAAAAACTCGAATGCAATAGATTAAATTAACCCAAAGAAAAACTTTTCAATAGATCAAAACGAATTATTTTATTTATAGTAGACTAAATAAAAAAATTAAAATTTAACAAAGTTTATTCATGCATATGCATTTAGTAAAAATGAGATTCAAATTGTTCAAGGACATGAATTCTGATATGAGGATCTCATTAATTTACAGCTACTTTTTTCAGACTACAATATAAGGCATTTTTTTTTTAAATTCTACTTAATTTAAAATATAGTAGGAAATTAGGTAGGTGTTATACATTGTTTTTCAATTATCCCTTTATTTTATTCAATAATTAATGAGAGTGTTTTGAAAAAGTCAAATGTTATATTTATTATACTCAATAGCACAATTAAAAAGATGTAAAATTTAAAAAAAATTAACATTTTAACCAATTTTTTTAAGAAACATAAATTAATGAAGAGTAACTTATATTGTAATGTAAAAAGAATACTTTATAAATATGTTTTGAATTGTAAGACAGCCACAAATCAGAAGGAATCTTTCAAGACTAAACTAACATAGATTTTTGGTGCTTAAAACAAAAAGGCATTTTTTTTTTGTAATTGACAAAAGTAACCACAATGAAGGATTAAGCATTGAGGTATAGTCATGTTTTTAATTAAATATTAAATGTCATCGTCGCGTATCTATACCTTCATTGGAATAAAATAGCACCGTAAGTGCCTTCCAATGTTGCTTCTCCATTATCATGAGGTGTCCAAAGCATCCACTTCTCGCCCTTGAAGTGTCTGAATGGCCATTCACAATCTTCATTATCATTTTGTCACTAACCATTAAAACCCACTATCCTCCTTCACTTTTTCCCCCCTTCCAGGAGCACCAAAGACTAATCTTATTTTAAATATGAAGCACGAAAGTCAAGCTCCTCCCATTTAAATTTAGGATTAAGGTGGAAATCTATTCATAAAATATTTTGCGATGAACTACTGATATTCTTAATTCAAATGGTATAATTTTGCCCATGAACTTTAAAAACAATGCAAAAATCCTCAACCCGTAATGGAAGCCAACGTATGTTAAGTAAGAATTGTGGATCACACCTATTATGCCATGTATAAATGGGTTAGGAGGTAAAAACATACATAAAGTAATACAAAATCTCCATCCCATGATAAAGTTGCACATTAGCAAACGTTGACATTGAATTGTTAGAAAAATTGATTTTTTATCTGTCTTGAAGTGTAGACATGGAAATACATATGTTCAAATTAGGTTTTAACTAACAAAAATTAACCCTAGGCACAACATTTTTTCTTATCATGCATCACATCCATTTTTTCTAATTCACCATGTTATAAAAAATTAATTCTTTTCACTAAATTCAATCTTTATTAATTGTAGCTGAACAAGATGATAGCGATGGCGATGTTCTTATTCTACAAACTGTTGAGCTTAGTAGGCATTACCTGGCAAGAAAAAGAATAAAGCAATTGTTTGATATGCGGAAATTTGGACAATAATCCACCTCGATATTCGTTTTCTCGATTGATAACAAATCATACAACTATGATGCCTTCTCTCGCCTGTCTTCAACCTATTACCTACCTAGGAGAACACACCTTTTGTCCTTTTTAACATAAAAAATACTCTCCACAGAAAAATAATCTTTCTCGAGATACTGAGAATACTAGACTTCTCATTAATTTTCAAAAGATACATCAATACTGTTTCTCTCTCTCTCTCTCTCTCTCTCTCTCACACACACACACACTGTTTCTCTCTCTCTCTCTCTCTCTCTCTCACACACACACACACACACACACACACACATTGTTTTTCTATAAAGTGAACAATCTTTCTCTGCCGTTTGGTAGAAGCCCAGTGTAAGGGATGAAAACTGACACTCGAAAGGAATAATACAAAGATAGATGGTCACAGTTTAGATGATTATAGCTGTGACACAACAGACATTACAAATATCCCCCCCCCTTTTGTATGAAAAAAGAATCTTTTTTTCCCCCACTCATGATGCCATGGACAAAAATTGAAGTCACGTCATGTGGACTGTCTAGCTCGTCAACGCTATCAAATGCCAAGGCATTATTGAACTGGGCAAACAATAAGAAATCCTGTTTTCCATCAGAGTGAAATTCCAACCCTTTTTCTTCATCTCCATTAAATGAAGCTTGGTCGTGATGAATTGAGTCTGAGAACTTAATAACCCTGAAAAATGAAATATATAGGCCAACTGAGAGCACTTGAATATCATCAAAGCAAGTAATTAACAGTCTCATTCAATATAAAATCAAAGGAAAATTATATACAGGTCTCACACAAAAAAATTAATTACTATAAGATTCATTAACAATTGAGTTAAGGTCTATGCAAACATGACATCAAATACAGAGTCATATGGTCAATTTTGGTATCCACGCATCTATGACAAATTGATCTTATCAACAGAAGAAAAGTAGACAAATGATTTGGGCAGGAAAACTTTACCGCTATGATGCAAGCTTGCCAGCAAGGATTCCACCAAATATAATGGCTCCAAACCACTTATTTGAGACAAATCTGGAAGAACAATTTATTAGTGCCTAGATTGATTTCATGCGCACAAGCAAGAAACAGGAACAAAATTAAGAGTGAAATAATTCGCAGCATCCTACGACGGGAGTTCAAGTCTCTGGGCACTGAATGCTCAATACACTACTACTGCCAACGACATTTTGTCACATAATCTAGTTAAGTTCTAAATTTTAGGTGACGTCAAGTACAAAGGCATTAGAATTATAATAATTATTTTGCAGCGACAGATATATGGCAAGTTGCATCTAATCAATTAATTAACATACTCAAATATATATATATATATATATATTGCAGAGAAGTTATCTCTGAAATTTCCAGAGGTTTTATGTCTATGCATAGAATTGATAGTGACTGGTAAGGATTCCCTCTGCCACAAAATCCAGGTAGCAAACACTGGTCTTTTTATAAAGTCATACAGAAAACTTCAAGATAAATTTATTTAATATATAAGAGCATATAAAAATCCCACAATTTCTTTCCCATGATATAATAAACTGACACAACAACAACACCCATTAAGTAAGTGCGGCTACGTGGATTATATGATACCATTGTACTTTATCATTAGTCAAACTCTTGGGAAAAGTAAACCAGGAAATCTCATTCAACATAAAAAAAAACTCTAACAAGCCACATTATTCATGAGTCATGGATACTACGGTCCAATTTCTAAACTCTGTGCAACATATAGGACCAACACTAGCATTTCTAAAGCTCCAATAGAGGTTCCTTGCCAATAACTCGCCAAGGAACAGTAAAGACCCTCAGTAGATCTCACCAAATGTTGGACTTTTGGATCAGAAAATAACAAAAGTATGCATTGCTCCCGTTATGGCACAAAAAATAGCCAATATCCCCCAAAAACATACTTATTGTTGCAATCAGAACGTGATGAAAGGTCAACTGTCCAAATTTGCCAGGCTAGGTGTCCGGATGCAGCTCCCAGAAATGGATAATAAGGCCAGCCTGTGCAAATATTGAAATCAAGCGGCAGAAAACAGTTATCACAATCCAATTGCTAACAGGCATAGCCTTAAAAAATGGAGAACAAAACTGAAGTTATATGGCATACCAATCTCAGCATTAAATCCACTCAAGGCAAGACTACCAATGCATGCGATGCCAAACCCAGAAACCCACTCCTTTGTTGACTCACCAAAGAGCAAAGCTGTTGATTTAACTCCCACTTTCACATCATCTTCTTTATCCTGATTGCCAATATGTTTTATAGACAGCATAAGCAACTCAATTACATGGCTTCAGTAAAAACATTCAAGAGAAGAACCTCAACAAGTGTTATATTTATCCCCATGAAGATGATCCAAAGTATTTAGGATTTAAGCTTCTTGTAGTCATTGTATTCTCTGTTTTATAATACCCAAATCAGACAAGAAAGTTATAAGAACTTGGTGGATAACTATATCTTGACATTTAAAAACAGCATGGCTAAAGGAGCAAATGATACTCTGCCCCTTAGCAAGCAGGTGCTGGAAACCTAAACCATAATAATTAAATTGCCATTGAAACACCATTTCAAACTCAAGTATTGGGGGGAAAAGAGGTTCCTGAAGAGAAAAAATTTGAATTCCAAATAGTGACCTCTAGAAAAAGCAAGGAATTCCAGAAAAGTGATAGAACCAGCCCAAACAAGAAGAAATGATAATGGAAAAATTCTGCAATTCTCTATTATCAAGGGAAAACTACAGAGATTACACCGATATCAACTTACTTCCTAATGGTACAGTAACACAAGTATCACCCACACTCTACTTGGTTTTTGAGAGACCAGGACCTCCCCACTCTCAAAATAAATCTTCCTTACCTATTCCTCCTACCCTCACCCTTATATACGTACTACCATTACTCTGACATTGTCAGGACAAACTACCCTGTATTGTGACCATGTTGCCCCTGCTCAACTCGTTGGTTGTCTTGGGCTTTACTTCCTCTGGACTTTCTTTTATAAACCTGACCCCATCTCCTAGCTTCTGGCCCATCATTTCCCCCATCTGCAAGTGGCACCTTGTCCTCAAGGTGAAATTGAGGAAATTGAGTGCGAAGAACATCCCCATCTTCCCAAGTATTTTCACAATCCGGGTGATCTTTCCACTTGAGTAAATGTTGCAGTTTCCCATCCTCTCCTTGACGGATGGCTTGGACTGATTCTGACTGCACTTGTAACTCTAAATCTTCAGTTAATCCTTGAGGCAGAGGCTGCGCTTCTGCTGTAGCTTTGACGGCCCTCTTGAGTTGGGAAACATGGAAGACACTATGGATTCTGGCTGTTGTAGGTAGTTTCAGCCGGTAAGCAACCCTTCCTATCCTCTCCAATATCTTATAAGGACCATAGTATCTTGGAGAAAGCTTTTCGTTTGGTTTCTTTGCCAATGACCGATAGCAGTATGGCCTCAACTTAAGGTATACAGCCTCTCCCACTTCATACTATACCTCCCTCCTATACTTGTCAGCTTGATTATGCATTTGTGTTTGTGCTTGCTCAAGCTGGCTCTTTAGGTCATCCAAGATCAAATTCCTTCCTTAGATCCGCTGGTCAACCTCATGCACCCTTGAAGACTGGTCTGCCCACTTCAATAAAGGAGGGGGTTCTCGCCCTTATAGTGCCTTGAAAGGAGTCATACCAATGGCACTGTGATAAGTGGTGTTATACCAATATTCAGCCCATGGCGTTCTAACCCACTTCTTAGGTGCATTTCCAGCAAAACAGTGTAAATAAGTCTTTAAAGTTCTGTTCACTGCCTCTATTTGGCCACTGGTTTCCAGGTGATAAGACGAGCTATACTTGAGGGTGGTTCCAGCCATGCTGAAAAGTTCCTTTCAGAATTGGCTCACGAAGACCCAATCTCTATCTGAGACAATTGAGCTAGGAAACCCGTGCACTTGATTACTTCTTTAATAAATACCTCGACAACATCTTTGGCACTATAAGGATGAGAAAAAGGAATAAAATACCCATATTTGGTCAATCGATCCACCACGACCAGCACTGTATCACAGCGATTACTTTTGGGTAATCCCTTTATTGAGTCCATAATCACATCATCCCAAGAAGCAATAGGTATGGGCAGAGGTTGCAACAGCCCAGCAGGGCTCAAAGCCTCATATTTGTTCCTTTGACAAGTCTCACATTGAGCTACATACTTCTAAATGTCTTTCCTCATTCCTGTCCAGTACACAACTGCAGCTAACCGCTTGTCAGCCCTCAAGTACCCTAAGTGGCCCCCCATTGGTAAATCATGAAACTCCTTGATGAGTTCTTTTGTTTTGCCTGAGTGCTTTGGCTCCCTTCATAGAAAAGAATTCCATTCTTCAAATTATACCCTTTGGGTTCCTCCCCCTTGATTATTTTCTATTTGAGATCCCTTAAGCATGAGTGTTGACCAATCTTTGTTTCTAACTCTTCAATTCCCTCATATTGCCACATTGAGATTGCCCTCATCTCCAATTCTGCATCACAACGCGAAAGTGCATCTGCCACCCTATTCTCCTTTCCCAGTTTATAATGGACCTGAAATTTGTTGCCCATGAGCTTGGAAACCCACTTTTGCTGATCGGGTGCTATGATTCTCTGCTCCAAGAGGTATTTTAGAGCCTTTTGATCTGTTTTAATAACAAATGGTTGACTAGACAAATAATACAGCCACTTTTTGACAGCAAGAACAATTGCCATGAGGTCCCGTTCCTAAACCAAACTTTGTTGATGTCTGTTAGATAGCTTTTGGCTAAAATAGGCGATAGGCCGCCCCTTTTGCATCAAGATTGCTCCTACTCCTTTTCCTGAGACATCGGCTTCTATCTCAAAAGGTTGACTAAAATCAACCATCGCTAATACTGGCACTGTGGTCATTGTGTGTTTGAGCTCCTCAAATGTCTTTTGTGTCCCTTCATTCCACTGGAACGCATCTTTCTTAAGTAATTGGGTCAATGGTGCTGCTATCTTGCTGTACCCTTTAACAAATTTGCGATAATACCCAGTAAGGACAAGGAACCCTCTTAATGTCTTCAAGTTATGAGGTTGCGGCCACTGCACCATTGCAGAGATTTTGGTCGAATCAACCTTCACTCTTTCAGCCGAAATTATGTGACCCAAGTATTCTATTTGAGCCTGGCCAAAAACACATTGCTTGGGGTTGATTACAAGTTGGTGCTGCTTCAACAAATCTAGGGTAACTCTCAAATGATCTTTGTGTAATTCCCCACCTTTACTACACACAAGAATATCATCAAAAAATACAAGAATAAATTTTCTTAAATGCTCATGAAATATATCATTCATGAGAGATTGAAATGCAGAAAGAGCATTCATTAATCCAAAAGGCATAACCTTAAATTCATAGTGGCCATCATGAGTCTGAAATGCTGTTTTGGCTTTATCCCCTTCTTTGATTTGTATCTGATGGTACCCAAACTTGAGGTCCAGTTTAGTGAATACGGTTGCTCCTCCCAATTCATCTAGAGCTCGACAGTCGCAGGTATTGGGTATTTGTCAGGCACTGTGACGTTGTTAAGTGCACGATAGTCTATGCAAAACCTCTAACTTTCGTCCTTCTTTTTGACTAGCAATACAAGACTATAATAGGGATTGGTACTAGGTTGTATGACCCCTGCGAGCATCATGTCTTTGACTTGCCTCTCTATTTTTGCCTTTTGAGCAAAACCATATCTATGTGGACGAGTGTTCACTGGTTGCGCCCCAGGTTTGATGGTGATTGCATGATCATGGGTCCTCTTAGGTGGTAGCCCAAAAATCGGTGCACTAACCTCAAGATATTTATTGAGTATTTTTGTATATTCTCCTCCATCGGCCTATTGTGCGTCTTGTTCTTCTTGCTGAGTTTCGGCCAATTCTACCAAATATCCCACTTCTTCCTCTTTGATTGCCTTTTTAATTGACCGCAAAGAGACCTGGGTATTAGTGAGTGCTAGATCTCCATGTAGGCATACCCAGCTTTTCCCTTCTCTTACCTTCATGTATAGTTGCTGCCAATTCATACGAGTCTCCCTCAAGGAAGCTAGCCACTCAACTCCCAGAACCAAATTCACATTGCCGAGGCTAAAAGGATAAAAAGGTTGCTCAATGGTCATTCCTTGTGTCTCGAGTCGCACACTTAGGCACTTTTGGTTTGAGTACGTTCATCGCCTATCACCCACCATCACTGAATACCTCTTGACCTCTAGCGTCAGAATTTGCAACTCTTCCACTAGGTCTGTCACAATGAAATTGTGAGTTGCCCCACAACCAATAAGGATTATCACTCCTCAACTGTTGACCAGCCCCTTCAATTTCAGAGTCTTTTTTCCTATGATCCCAATTGTTGTCATGATTGCCAACTCCATAGATGTCATCTCCCTGTCCTCTTGGGCTTTTTCATTTTCAGGCTCACTAATTTTCTCCTCTGGACAGCTATCTCCTTCTTCAAGCACAATAAGCCCGCATTGCCTATTGTTACACTTGTGATTTAGGCTAAACTTCTCCTCACACTTAAAACAAAGGCCCAATTCTTGACGTCTGATGATCTCTACCTCAGATAGTCTTTTCCATGGAACTACGCTGCCTGAGCTACTCACTGTGGACTACACCTATCCCGTCGTTTTCGTAGGTGCCGACTTGGTTTCCTCTTGGCTCTTACCCATGGGAATCCTCATTCCAGACGTCGTGCTTCTAGCCTTAGGGGTCTCTGCCATGCTGAACTTGGGGATGGCTGGCTTATATTCGATCCAGCGTTCCCCTAAGACTATTTTAGACGTTCGGTTCCTCTTTTCCTCGGATATCCTGTCTTTTACCCTATTTTGGTCTTTGACCTGACCTGCGAAATCTATAAGCTCCCTCAATCGCCTTGGATGCATCAATCAAACATCTCCATGAATCTCTTCCTGTAGCCCATTCAAAAATGCATCGATTAACATCTCGTCGGGTACATCTCCTAGTGGTGCAGAAAGCAATTCGAACTTCTCTCTGTATGCCATTACCGTCCCTTCTTGTTTTAATACCAGCAATCTGTCACGGATGATATGTAAAGACCAATGTAATGAACGATCCGCTGGTTAGCCTCGCACAATATGGGTAAAGGGGGCGACATTAGCATTGGGGGTGTTTTGCCTCAGTCTTCGGACTGAGTGCACAACTGATCAGGAGCTAGTGCCGCCTCCCTGATGAGCCCATGGCAGGGCGAAACCAGTGCGATCTGTATGTGGTAAGGCTTGTCCTGAGGATTATGGGGTCCTCCAGGACGCCGCACGGGCGCCGTGTGCTGCGCCAGACTCTCAGCCCGTAACAGAGTGGTATCAGAGCAAGACGTACTTTACTGTCATGTGCGCGTGGGGTCCCACGTTGGGACTGGTCGACCTCGGCACCGCTCCAGAAAGGCCTCCGAGCAGGTGGGTCCAAAAGTAGGGACTCGGGCGGGAAGGTTGGCCGTTGTCGGCTCCACTCCTGTTGGCTCGCGGGTGCGAGTGGGTCCGAAGAGTGCAGGACTCGGGTGGCCACTCAGCAGTAAGCTGATGTGTTTGTGGCAGTACTGTACGTACGATCCTTGGGCGGAGTCGTTCTCCCCTAGCACGAGGGCGTGCTAGATTGGGTGTGGAAGAATGTCACGGATGATATCTCCGTGACCGTGTAAAGACCAATGTAATAAACGATCCGCTAGTTAGCCTCACACAATATGGGTAAAGGGGGCGACATTAGCATTGGGGGTGTTCTGCCTCAGTCTTCGGACTGAGTGTACAACTGGTCGGGGGCTAGTGCCGCCTCCCTGATGAGCCCATGGCAGGGCGAAACCAGTGCGATCCGTATGTAGTAAGGCTTGTCCTGAGGATTATGGGGTCCTCCAGGACGCCGCACGGGCGCCGTGTGCTGCGCCAGACTCTCAGCCCGTGACAAATCGCTCATGTTCATCCCCAAGTTGGCAGTAGTGGAACCTGTTAGTCATCTCTTTTTTGAATTCAGGCCATGTTGGCACAAGATGTCAAGTATCCAACCACTGAAACCAGGCTAATGCCCTTCCCTCTAAACTCACTATGGCAGCATCCAACTTCTAGTGCTCCCCAACCCCATTAACATTGAAATACCATTTGACTCTGAAAATCCAACCCAGCAGATCCTCCCTTTCGAAAAGAGGCAATTCTAACTGATAGTGTTTTAGCCAATCGTTTTGCCCTGTGCCTTCATTTTCTACATTGTGTGCTTCTCCCGTGTTGTTTCCCTTCCGGTGGGCCCTCGGGAGGTGGGGGTGGATGTGGCAGGTTAGCAACAGCAAGGGTCGCCTGAAGTTGCCACATAATGGTGGCTACTATATTGTCTACCCTGGTGAGTTTTTCATTTGTTTCTCCTTGTTGTCTTTGCGTTTCTTTGACTGCTTGCTCCAAATACTCGACTCTATTCTCCATTCTAGTGCTAACCATTCCCTAGAAACCACCACTCTAGTACCAATGTGATAGAACCAGCCCAAAAAAGAAGAAATGATAATGGAAAAATTCTGTGATTCTCTAGTATCAAGGGAAAACTAAAGAGAATACACCTACTAATATCAGCTTACTTCCTAATGGAACAGTAACACAAATATCACCCATACTCTACCTGGTTTTCGAGAGACCGGGACCTCTCCACTCTCAAAATAAATCTTCCTTACCTATTCCTCCTGCCCTCATCCTCATATACGCACGACCACTACTCTAACACAGTCAGGACAAACGTTACCCCGTACTATAACCATTTTGGCCCTACTCAACTCACTGGTTGCCTTGGGCTTTACTTCCTCTGGACTTTCTTTTATACACCTGACCCCATCTCCTAGCTTTAGGCCCATCAAAAAGTAATTGCGTTATACTGGCACCAAGGCCTTAAAAACTGATCCATTCAAAATTTCAGTATGACAATACTCTGCTGCACTAGCATTATTCAAATAAAAATAACACGGAAAAAAAAACCATGCCAATATGTGGAAATAGGCAAGATTGTGGGTCACAATAGAACAAAAGTAAAACAGAACTCAACACAACAACAAAAGAAAGAAAATGCAGAAACATAAAGACAGACTCTAGCTTTTGAGAGGTTAAATTCTCTCCAGGATATCATTGATCAAAATAAGCATAACATTCCTCTGGTCTCAAAGGTCTCTCAATATCCACTCGAACTCCCTCCCTCTGCCAGAACACCATGTCACAACCATCATGTGTCAGTGTTCATTATTCCCACATATTTCCTTTTCCCCTTATTTGAAGTAGACTAGTGTCTCATTTGCTTTGGTTGAATTAGGCCCAACCCTTTCTCCCTATTTCTTGTCCATATAATCACACTTAATCTGGTTTGGTAAAACATGCAAATAGAACTCACCCTATAACAGTTCAGATTGCCAGGATCTTTTTTCTGGCAAGCTAGAATTTGATAGGCAACACAACAGGGAAGCAGGAAAGCGAGTAGTGAAAAGGATTTAGTTGCCAAGAAGGACAATGTGCTTTAAAGAGTTAATAGAAGCATAATTGCCAAATTTGGAACTTAAGATGTCAAACAACAGAGAAAAGATCAAATACTCCTTTCATCACTGCTTTAGTGTTTTGAAAATTTGATAAAACTTTCATGACTTACCATAAGAAAACAAAGTGAAAAAGCAAGATGAGCACAGGTGAGAAAGCTGGTTCCAACGTTTATAAAGGAAAACAGTAACATGGAGCATGGAAATTGAAATAGCTGCCATAAATTATCATCATTTTCCTGATAAATTTAAATTAAAAAAAAAGTATGCTGAGCTAGTGCTTCGTCCACAACTCAAGAATCAACGAGTCTTGTGGTTAGATTTGGTAAGCAAATTTTACAAAAACAAACATTGGGTCTTTTCCTAACAGCTTGAGCTTATAAGGTTTAGTGACAATATATAAGACTGCATAACAAAGGTAACCACACCTTGCCAAATCAATGTTCCTATAACTAGAATTTTGCATTGACTCTTGCTATAAAGGAAATAGGAACTAAATAACATGAAGAGATTTAGAAAAAAGAAAGAGAGGCACAAAATCAGAAAAATGGATCTTGGCATCTCGCAAGAAGCAAAGCTGTTTGAACCTGATGAGCATATATTGTATCATACACAAGAGTCCAGAAAACTCCGGAGGCATAAAGTGGAAGCACAATAGCTGGATTCAGGCTTCCCATAACTGCAGCCCATCCCAATAGAGCCCCCCAGTTAAAGGTCAACCCAAGAAAGGCTTGAGGCTGTGAAATCACGAGATAAAAGGCTCTGTGAGATCATTCATCAAAGATTGGATTATGATCTATCAATAAAAACTAGAAATAAGGAAACCGTGTTACCCAAAATGTAAACCTCTTCATGAGGGGATAGGAGAAGACAAGCAACAAAGATGAAGCTCCCAAGACACGACTGCCAAAAGAACACAAGCCACAATTATTTAAAATTTAACTAAAAATCATATGTCAGTCAATATTAATTAAAATTATGTACAAAATGGATAATTAGAAAGAAAAATTTATTGAAGATGCATCGTACTAGCAAACCAGGTGTCGGAAAATCATTTTAAGTTTTCCAGAATCAATAAAGACAGATTGACAAACCTCTTCCTAAATATAAATGGTGAAATTATCAAGACCATTATTCAGACAATCATCATCTTCATTAGATTACATTAGATAGTTCATTTGCTAACTCAGCCTCTATCAACCTAACATTGTATTCTGTTATAAAACTAAGAATCAAAATTTACTCCGATTTCATGAATAATATAAGCCGTGCTAATTGTATACTTTGGCGAAGAGTAACAGTCCTAATAGAATACAGTCCAGAAGAACTTGCTGCAAGATAAAGAGGCCACTAGGCAAAGAAATCTGTCATGGATAGCAGAAGAAAGTCCACGGTTACAACACAAGAACTTAGAAATTAAAGTAATATTCATGTTCAACAATGCTGAATTACGGGGATATCCCAAAACTGGATGCTAGTCCACCTGGATTTTTTTTTTTTCCTATTGGAGCTCATAAAGAAATTTTAGATGTTGGGGCATTTTTGATGGATTTGTGTTGTATATTGCCTTTCCGTAGAGGGATAAAACTTCATTTTGGCCTAAGGTGTAGAGGGGGTTGATGGACCCACAACTTTTGAGCTAGAGAATCTCAAGGCCTATAAGATGGGAATGAAGACAAATTATTGCACATAGGGCTTACAGTGCTGCATTTTCAGTGACAAGGGGTCCAGATGGAAGAAAGAAAAAGTGTTATGGGTTGTGCATGTCACAAGGGGCATGAGTTGGGAGAGCTAGGGGAGAGGAGGGGGGATTGTGGTTGGAGGGGTCTCTACAGGGCTTTGAGAGCTGAGAGTAGTCAAGAAAGTATTAGGTTTAGTGGCAAGGCAAGAATCTGGTCTTTTGAATAGCAGGCTGAGGGAGGAGCTGTGCCTCTTCTTCATTTTCTTTCTTTTACATGCTGTCTTCAAGGTCTACCATTCACTTTTCCTAGTATGTTTCCTATCGTAAGCTTATGATCAAGTGCCAAGAGATAAGCTTTGGAAAGCTCTAGAAAAGAAGAGGGTCTGTGTTGCTTATATCAGAGCTATTAAGCATATGTATGAGGGAGCATCAACTAGGGTGAGAAACCTAGAGGTGAGACAAAGAACTTCCCTATAGGAATTGGTTTGCATCAAGGATCATTCTCAAGTTCTTATTTGTTTGACATGGTTTTAAACATTCTAACTAATCCCATTCAAGAGGAAATCTCAAAGTGCATGCTCTTTGTAGATGACAGAGTCTTGATTGCAGAGGTGAGAGAAGCAATTAATGCTAAATTGGAGTTATGGAGGCGAATTTTGAAATTGAAAGGTTTTCGCTTAAGTAAAAGTAAGATATAATACATGTATTGCAAATTTAATAAAAGGCAAGATAGAAATGAGTTGGAGATGAAGATTGAAGAGCAAGCCATACCACAAGTCAAAAAGTTTAAGTATTGGAATTGATTCTACAAAATGGCAGTAAAGTTGATGAAAATGTTATACATAGGATGCAATTAAGGTCAATAAAATAAAGGAAGCATCAGGTCTTCTTTGTGATCACAAGGTTCCTACTAAGCTTAAAGGGAAGTTTCATCATACCACTGTAAGACTAGTTATGTTATACAGCATTGTTGGGCATTGAAAGGCAAACATGAGCATAAAATAGGGATAACATATACGAGAATGTTGAAATTCATGCATGGTCGTAAAAGAAAGGATAATATTTGTGATGATTGTATAAGAGGACAAGTTGGAATGCCATTTATTAAGGAGAAAATGGTAGAAAATCATTTAAGAGGATTTGATCATGAGTAGAGAAGATCTTAAGAGGCACCAGGAAGGAGAAGGGAGTAAATAGTGTTTATCTCTTGAGATGTGGGAATATTTGGTATTTCTTGCAAATATTGTATAGTCTTTATTAAGTTTTATTAAACACTATTAGCATTTATTTCCTCTTGTGTATATATGTAGCCAGCTTGTACTTAGTATTGAATCAATGAGAAATATTATTTTCTCTCAAATTCCATGGAGAGGTAAATGGAGACCAAAAAGGAAACTTAAGTAAGTTATCAATTGGCATCTCTTGGTTAATAGTTTATCAAAAGAGTTGGTTTCAAATAGAGCATAATGGCATCATATGATCCATATAACAACACCATTTAGTAGGATAAGGATACTACTGTTGTTGTTGTTTCATATTGTGAACTTAGAGTATCTTCTATAAAAGCCTCATTCCCTTTATTTGAGAGCCTATTTATTAGTTAACACTGTTTAGAGGAGTTTCATTATGGGTTCTGTGATCCATTCAATATGAATAAGAGTGGTTTTCCCATGTGGTGTTGGTCCAAAAAATATGAATAACAATGATACTTTCTGCCATTCACAGGGATCTTAATAATTTGAAACAACATAAGAGGACAAATTACATAGATAAGTTTTAGGTTTCCAGAAAAAGTGATGGGTCGGAAAGGGATGCTACTTAGCAATATATGTGATATGTAGAACATTAAACGGTTTGCTATTTTCAATTTTCAATCAGGGTATTCCTGTCCTGAAGCTTACTCAAGTCAATTTTTATACTTTTGGATCTTCACTTTAAGTCAGTAGAAGTTCAACGATGCAAAAGAACTTTAAAATAATTTTTAAAAAAAGTTAAGAAGAAAATTTGTCCAAAAGATGCGGTGAACTTAACTGAAAGAGTCAAGAGTGCTTGTGATGTGGGAAGAGCAGGGGATGCTCTACTAAGTCTGGGGCAAGTTTAAGTGTTTTGCTATTTCCGGTGATGGCACCCCTGGAAACCACTCAAGTCAGTTTCTATATTTTTAAATCTTGCCTGAACGAAACAGAGAGTAAAATTTCATAGACATCATTTTTTCAGATAAATAAGAACAAAGGCTGTAAAAAAGACTCGAAAAACAAATTTAAAAGAACTTGTTTCCTATAAACGCAGAGGGCCTCAACAGTTCAATTAAATGATGCAAGCAGAATACAGGAACAGAGCTGCTGAAAACACAGAAAGGATTCTACAGAAGAATGTTTTATAGAGTGACAAGAATGGATAGCATTAGTTTCCCAATTTAGGACATGCAATCCAGATCATGGTTCCTGTGTGATGCAGTCTTCCTGCCAATAAGTCCGATTGTAACAAAATTAAGGGCCTGGCACCCTGATATAACAAGGATGGGCTCTGGCCCTAAGCAGAGAATATGCTACTCATAATTAGCACCAACCTATAATTATTTAGTTGTAGAAGAATCCCAAGACCCAAAAGCAATTGAAAACCAAGAAAACAGAGTCCTTGAAATGGTGTCAAAAGACCACTTGCAACTGGTCTGACCTTTGTACGCTCTACCTGCATTATATGTTTACATAAACATTAATTCAGAACTTCAAATAAAAATCATCAATTGAATAACGACATGAAAAATGAAGTAGGCAACAACAATCCCCAGCATCATACTAAGGTTTGGGAGGCAATCAGTAACTGGCAAATACAAATTCTTAATCCATCATCTTCTCTCATTTACTTGCATCATTTTAGTTGCTTATGCGTGAGCATGGTAATATATGATGATTAAGCCACAGAATGATCAAGAGCCGCAACGGAATGCTATTTTTGTATTTTGAAGGAGTTGAGTCACAGAATACTTCTCTCTAGCTGTTATGAGCCGAGTGAAATGATTGCAAGTATAAGATTGTAAATGAGTGTGGCCAAATTTAAATCCAAAGAGTGATTGTAGATGGTTTGCAAATGGAATAATTTTGTTAGTTACTGAAATGTTTATCAAACCCATCTAAGGGCTAACATTTTTACAGGATAATTCTGAAAAAGACGAGCAGGTGCATGCTTAGATAAATTGGTATACTCCAGGTGTAACAATTTAAAGCACAAGATCACTACCTCCCACTAGAAGTAAAACCAAGGATGAAAATTCAACGGTGAAAGCAACTAAATTACCTTTGTATCAATATCCCGATCAAGAAGATCATTAATAGTACAACCAGAACCCCTTAAAAGCAATGCACCACATCCAAACAGTGCCAACATTTTAAAATCAGGAAGATGCCCTGGAGTTGCTGCCAAGGTAATTGACCTGCAACATAGGGCATATAAAATCAGAAAAACTTGTAGAAATAATGAGGTAAGAAAAAGGAACTTCAAATAGGAAAGTAAACAAAGTAATAATTACCAAAGAAGTTTCTGTAAATAAATACATGGTTAAAACTTACAAAAAAAAAAATCATCAACTTAGCAAATTATACCTGGAGTATTTTGTCAAATCATATGATATATCTATCAAGTTATTTTTCAGTTGCAACTGAATTTACAGTTTGATAAGATTTACAACTCATAAATAAGCATTCAAGTTTGCAAGTAGGTAACAATGCCCTATACACAAACATGTGCAACTCTGCGTGCATGTATTAACTTAGTTGTCAAGTTGGCCATCAAAACTCTTTGAGAAGAATCCCCATGCTTCCTCAACAACAAAGAATCCCTTTGTGAAGGAAAAAGGCCAAAAAAAAAATTCAAAATAAATATTCTTACCACATACAAGGCCATAAAAGCAACCATGTTCCAATTGGCTTGTCAAGCCGAGCAAGTCGAGCATAGGGCTGAACCCACCTCGGAAGGTATAAATCAATCCAAGAGAGGTTGGCTGCTGGAAATCTCACGTCACTTTCATTACCACTTAAACTCTTGCGTTCCTTAGAATCCCCTCCAACACCAGAAGACGTAGAAATGTGTGCAACAGAATGGAAATCTGGGTGAAATCTAATCCTTTTACAGAATTCAAAATTAAAAATCTGAGGGAGGGATTGCCTGAATGGAAGATTTGAAAGGCAAGGATTCAGAGAAGGGATTAGATAAACAGATGATTGAGTGGGGACTGAAGGATCAAATATAGAGCGGCACAGAGACACTGAAGGGCCAGAAGAAGGGAGATAAGATTTAATAGATCTACGTGAAAAACGAGAGACCAAAACAGAAGCCATTATTCGTTTGCAAGCAACAATTTGGATTTGCCTTGCTGCTACTAGCTCCAGAGCAAACTATCTCAAGGAGCCCATATCAAAGGGAATCATTCTGATAAATCAACCGCAATGGGTGCAAAAGTCCACATATGTCAACCCCTCTAGTAACTCTCTTCATGATGAGGAGCCTTCCATGAGAACACTGTAAATTTAAAAATTTGGTCACCATATAAATTGTGAATGATATTTTCAAGGAGAAATCTTGAAAATATGGAACATACAATTTAGCAATCCACTACCAGAATTAATTTTCTCATTTTTTAATATTAAGTCATTTAATTGACATTCCTCAATAACCTTAGAAAACCAATCCCTTTGCAGCACTCAATGAAAGTCCATAGAAGGATTAATGGGATAGTGGATTATGATAGCCTAAAATTTAGGATAAAAAGAGCAAAGCTTCTTCGGATCATCATGGTCTGCACCAAGCAACTGCACACAAAATATCACGTAATGTCTTTCCAAATCTACATTATCCTTTTTCACACGTCAGTAATCTAACTAGTAACCACCACTCGACACTGTTACTTCATTTTAAAGTTAAGATCTTAAAAATCTCTCATTCCCGTCTCACCTCAATCCACAAAAACACAGCTGCAAGGAACCTGCTTTCATCACAAAATCTCTAACCCGTATGATAAAATTTACACCAAGAAGAAGAATTTTCTAGCTCAGAGCTGAACCCTCATCGCTTACACGATTTCAATTTCAACAAGGAAACTTGTTGATGCTAACCATTAATAAGCTTGCTTCCTCCCGCTCATACATATTTCATCATTACATGAGCAAATTCTGCGTACCATGCCAAGCAAATAATCTCAGCTGGGCATGAAGAGGTGGTGAAGACAACCCCCACAACAGGCAATTTGCAGCCCAGGTTTAAAATGGGGGGAAAAAATCATGGGGAGGTACCAATCGAGCTAAAAGCGTATTCGACTCGTCAGCGAGGCCGCCGAAGAGAATGTTATAGCTCGTCAAAAATGGGCTGATGAGGTCGTGACATGAGAGAGCAAGAAGACGAGAAGCTCTAGGCTTCGCTCATTAAGCTGGAGTCCAAGAATCCATGCGACTACTAGAGTGTCAGAAGTGAGGATGAGGACGTAAGTGTTGACTCTCAATACTTCGAGGAAAAAGTTGTCTTAAAACAGCCACGTCATTTAAGCCGAAATAATTTTTTTAAGAAAAAAATTTTTGCTGAAGTTTTAATTTTGGAAAAAAGACGACATTGATTATATTTATAACCTTAAAATTAATGGTAAAAAAACCTTAAAAGTATAAATTAAAAAAAAACTCACGATAAGTTGACATTAAAACTTTTTTCATCATGTTTTTTCCATATTCATTTTTTATATTTTAGATATCTATTTTTTTCATTTTTAACATTCAATTTTTTTTAGTAATATGTTTCAATACTTTTTTTTTTAATTTTACTGCCAAAAAGTACCGGAGAATGACAACAAAATTCAAAAGGATGATTTAACAACAGATAAATCTGTAACAAAATTCTTTATAAAATAAACTATAAATATTAGTTTAAACAATTATAAATAAAAAATTAAATTACAAATAAATTATTATATTTAAAATTTAAACATCATATTTGTTAATTGAAACAGAAAAATAAATATAACTCCAATTATTTTGAAAATAATAAGATTTATGGCTCAAGAAAAGAGGTTGATTTAGAACTTTTAAATTTATAAATGTTTAAATTAACATCTAAAACTGATCTTTTAAAGAAATTATTGGGACTAATTATTATTATTTTTTTAGATTTAACTGTCATCCTGCTGGAAAGTATTAATTATAAGTATTTTTTGATATTAAAAAAATAGAAAATAACTATTAAAAATATTTAAGATGATTGCTAAAATTAAAAAAAATAAATAATAAACATGTTAAATAAAATAATAAAAATATATAAGATGAACATCTAAAATCTTAAACTGAAAAAATGAGAAATTTTTTGAAAATTTTTAAAATTTCAAGATTTTTAATTGTAAATATTATTATATTTTAAGGGTTATTAAATGTCATTCTCCCTTTCAATTTTTTTTTAAATTTTAGTAACGGGAAAAGACAGCTTCACCTCCTTCGATCTTCCTCATGCCCTGGAAGACTCGAATGCAGAGGAGAACACGACGAAGACCGAAGAGGTTGAAGATGCTGTTGACGACAGAAAATTCGACGAGGCAATATGTTCATGAATAAATAAATAATCACATGGCTATTTTATGTTAAAAAGTCAGGGTAATCTAAGTTAAGCCAAGGATGAAAATTCACAAGCCAGAGATTAACGAGAAATGTTGGAATAAAACACACAAATCGACGAACCTAGCAGCCGAAACGGACGAACTCCTTGTGCGAAACTCCGACGCGATTTCTGGTTCACCATGCCATCGGAGAGAAGGGCTTCGACTAGGAAGAAAACCCCAACCCTTAACTTTCTTTCTTCAAACCAAACCGGCCCTTGAACATATAAGGCTTCACCGCACCTTCCCCTCCAGTTCTATGTACATCATTTTTTCTAATTTTATTAATATTAATATAAAAAAAGTATGAAAAATAAAAGTATATAAGATTTAAAAATATCTCTATATAATATATTTAAAAATATTTTTTAAATATTACACATTGCAGATTAGGTAAATTACAAAAGATGTAGGTGATGGAGAAGCAAGGGCAAGAAGGCAACAGTTCGACCAGCGGTGGAGAAGTAGAGGAAGGCAATGGTGACGAAACAGTGACAGCGAAGATTACGACGTCTGGCACTGGCTGATGGACGCCGCAGGTGAGGCGGCCTCCCGAACGACAAATCAAGGGATTTGGGTTTTCATGACAGTGGGCACTTTTGGATTATCAAAATATAGCATATGGGCATATTAGTCACAAAATCACAATAATATATCCCTTCCTTTCAAGTTTGCGTCTGCATTTGGTGCCCATTAAGGTCAGAGCAATCTGAACTTTTATTTCAGCCTTATTTAATCCTTATCATTTATTTAAATTAATTTTTAAATATTTTTAATATTATATTTATTGAAATAAAAAATATAAAAAAATTAATGTTAAATATGGACTATTTAAAATGCATTTAAATAATTAATTCACAAAATTTATAAATTTTTTAATATGAAATTAGATCGTCTAAATTATATATAAACTGTACAGAGTCTATCTATATAGTCAAATTATAAAATTATAATTTTTTAATATTAAATTAAACTTTTAGATTAAATATATATTGGCCAGATTGATAATGAATGAATATATTAAAAATTTAAATTTTTTTATATTTTTTATTTATAAATATAATATTAAAAAATTTAAAAAAATTAATTTAAATAAATGATAGAGATTAAATAAGATTGAAATAGAAGGTTAGAATTACTTCTAATCTTAATGAGCACCGAACGCAATTCCTTTAATTTTCCTCAATTTGAATTGGAGCTGAAGGCTTGGAAGAATTTTCCTTCTCTCCCCTTCAGTTCTCCAAGTCAGGTTTTCTTTGTTCAAACCAAATGGGTGTTTGACATAGTTTTCACAAGAAATTTGTACGTTAATATAATATATCATGTCATTTGTATATTATTTAATAAAAATATATCACATCAATTTTTTTTCCATTTATGTCATTTTAAATTGTTTTAATTTCTCATATTTTCTTTCTCCTCTTGATAATGGTGAGAAATAAAATGTAAGAAATTAAATAAATATTTTATCTTAAAAAAAGTCATTAAACATAATGACATTTAAAATTTTATTTGATTGAGTTGATGAATGTGAATAAGGTAATTCTCCTGGCCTATGCAATAACTTTTCATTTATATGGCCAAATCTTGTTAAGTTCCGGATCTAATGAAATTTTCTTTTTTTTTTTTCAGAAGGAATATCAATTCAAATTTCCAAATCTAGTCTCCAAATGTTTAATAAAATAATTTTAATTGTAAATCTTAAATAGTTGTGAATTTGTTACACTGACATTTTAATTTTTCATATATTAGCTGTTAATGAAATTGTAAGCTGGAAAAAAAATCTTCATTTTTTAATGCAAATGATTGGTAAATTTTAAGAAGTTGTAAAATTTAATAATGTATTTATCACCTGAACACTTTTTGAGAAGTAAAAGAATAAGATTTTTTTTTCAAATAATTGTTGAATATTATAAAATATTCATGAATATTAAAAAACCTTATAAATTAATAATATTAATTATTATTTAAATCTATCTATAGCATATAATTTAAATAAATTATTATTTGAAATTATTTTTTAATTGTGATTAAAACAGTCTTATTTTATAATGTTTTGAGATTTCTGCCTATAAAAGACAGTGCTTATTGCAGGTTGTAAATCGGCCCTTAAGCTTTCGGGCTTTCTCTTTTTTTAATCATGTATGTGTGTTGTTGTTTGAGTTTATTCTGTGAATTTTCATTATTCTATGTTCTTGTTCATTTTATAAAAGATAGTGCTTGTGGCGGGTTGTAAACCAACCTTTGTGCTTTTAGGCTCTTTCTCATTTTCTATCATATGCTTCATTTGTGTTATTGCTTAAGTTTATTCTATAAATTTTCATTGTTTTGTGTTCCTGTTCATTTTATAGGAAAAGATTGTTTACTCCTGTGGGAGTGTTGTATGAACGACCTAATTTAGAAGAATACTCCCCTCGAACCATAATATAAGTCATAATTAATTAATTCATAATTTATAAACAATACTAGTTGAAACCTTAAGTTCTTAAAAATAATATATATCTTTTCATTTATATCCTCATTCAATATCCTACATAAGAACCTTGATAATAGTAATTAAAATTCTATTATTTTTAAAAAGTAATAAATGAAATAGAAGTACAATTGTAAAAAGAACGTATATAAAAGTTATTTAATGCTTTATATTTTGGATTGTGTAGGTTTTCTAGAATATGTTTTATATTATAATCTGAAGGAAGTGGCTTTTAAGAACAGTGTCTTTAAGTATAATTCAAATTATGATTTTATCTGTGCCAACAACAACTCCACTACCTTTTTAAGAAGAAAAAAAACATAGATGTGCTGTGTGTCAAAACGCACCAAAGTAAAAGAATGTCTCTACTCTCTAGAGTCAAAAAAGTGTAGAGATGCTAATTTATCACTTGCTAACAAGATCTTTAAATTAACAGTGAAATTTGAACCTATAAACTTATAAGTTATTAGCTAGATTCTTATTAATTGCGTCAGCTTTTATTGTTAATTTCATGTAGTTAATTTTAGTTAGATTTTTTACAAGTGAATTTGACCCTTCCCCCTAAAAAAACAAGTAAAAGTTATGTAATTGGCAACAACATATTTAAAATGTTATAAGTTAATATATTTTGTTGTCATATGTTGCATTTACTCATATAATTTCAAGTTAACTTTTAAAAAAATTGACATGCAAAACAATTCTCTAATTAATAAACATGTGTTCAAATTTCAACAAGTCAATATTTGGTTGTCAATGTCACATTCACATATTATTCATGTAAAGAGTATTTTTGACATTTGATGAAACATATTTTTTTGTTGAATGGAAAATGAAAACTTCCATTCAAGAATGAACAAGTAAGAGAGGTTACAAGAACACCATACAAAGTATTTATCACTTTCCTCCTCCCATACAAAAATTGTCAATAAAATTATAATCTATCACAATGAGATTAGAAACAAGTCCCGCAGCATCCTTAAATACAAATTTAAAGATGTTTCGATCATCACTTATGAGATAACCCAAATTAAGCAGAGGGTCATGGAAAAAATTAGATGAATTGCATCCTCTAAGCATGAGATTAATTGCTTCCAGATTTTCACTCTATTAATGCTAGAGATGGCCAATGGAGTGCTATATAACTTCAAACAATCTGCATTGTCATCGTTAATGGTTACAGTTATGGTGGACGTAGGACCCTGATCGTGGGGCATAAGATATAAAATAATAAAAATTAGAGAAAACATACATTTTGGTCCTTGACTTTGCTCGTATTTTGCTATAGATCCTTACACTTTTTTTTAATGTTTGAATCCTTACACTTTTATTTTTGATGTTCTACATCCTTAAATGA